CACTGATGTGACTGTTACAGATAATAGGACTTTTCCTGATGGAGCAGATGAACCTCACGTGAGGCAAAAGCCTGTGCGGAAGAAGATACGTCCCGTAAAATTAAAAGACTTTGTTGAATTTTAATGTTGTGTTTGTAAATTCTGTCCATTTAATTAAGTTATTGTTAATTATCTGTTGGTTTGATTTAAGTGGCTATTGTTCGGGACGAACAAGACTAAGGAGAGGGCAGTGTTACGACAGCGGAAGTCACGTGACCCTGGTAACACGTAATGTGTATCTAGAAAGATCGAGGTACCTGTGGATCGTTCCTGAAGGCTAGAGCGTTTGCTAGACTCGCGCTTTTATAGTATATAAGACCAGCGAGAAGTGACGGCAAGGAGACTTGTATAGCGGACAGAGAGATTGAAAACATAGACGGACAAGTGAGTCAAGCGCGGTAGGAAGTAAAGTGCGTGAGTCGTTCGTTGAGCATTATGGCGTGTGTTTAAATGACTGTGGAAATTAAGTGTATTGCAAAGTTGTATTGAGAAAGAATAAACTAGTTTTATTTAAGAAAGGACTTGTATCGCTGAAGTTTCTCGGGAAGAATTTCTACCGGAAATTATCAAACGAGCAGAAACGTAACAATACTTTAAAGTGGAATTTGAGGCCGTTTCATCATGATATTTTAAAGTAGAATTTGAGGCCGTTTCATCATGATACTTTAAAGTGCAATTAGAGGCCGTTTCATCATGATACTTTAAAGTGGAATTTGAGGCCGTTTCATCATGATACTTTAAAGTGGAATTTGAGGCCGTTTCATCATGGTACTTTAAAGTGCAATTAGAGGCCGTTTCATCATGATACTTTAAAGTGGAACTTGAGGCCGTTTCATCATGATACTTTAAAGCAATATGGAACAAAAAAAAACACAATAGAAAGAATTTTGCAACTAACTTAGAAACAAACAGCGTTGATTATAAAAATTCCACAAAACAAATATTTGCTTTGCTAACTTTGAAATATTAGTTCTTTGATATGATTGATCAATCGAGCGCAGTCATACAATTCCAACAACTATAAGTGATGTAACTCCGTAACCCCCAATGGCACAGCGGTATGTTTGCGGACTTACCCTGCTAGAAACTGGACTTTGATACTCGTGGGTGGGTAGAGCACAGATAGCCCATTGTGTAGCTTTGTGCTTAACTATAAACAAATCTAACTCCGCATATTTAATATTGCGATTATTCTACACGAAGTTTTCATAAATACTTAATTTATAACAGCAGGATGTATCTTAAAATACTACTTCAGTATTTTTCTAGTTGCGGTATTCATTAATTTAAACAGTTAATATTATATGTTTATAAGATTCAATGTTTTAAACAAATTATTAAGAGAAAAAATACATGATAATTTTCAAAATAATTGTTCACAATTTGTAGAGGGTTAGGCTTGGCCGAGATGTATAAGCGTGTTACTGTGATCTCTATATTCAGTAATTCATGTCCAATTGCATTTTGGCGCCGTGAGTCCGTTATAGCATTAATAGCATAATCATCCACAATTCAGTAAGAGTAGCCTAAGAGTTGGCGGTGTGTGCGTGAGAGAAGGGGGTCTGGTTTCCTTCCATCTAAGCTATAAGTTGATAATAAGGGGCTCTTATGTATCTTTGTTATAACACTTGTCTCCCGGTGGGATAGCGGTAAGTCTACGTACTTTTAATCCTAAAATCCGGGGCTCCTTTCTCCGCGGTGGACATAGCAATTTTTCAAGAAGTTAACGATAATAACAGTAATAAAAACTTAAGTCTGTTTACTAAATTTTGAGTTTTCACTTTCGTCAGCTTCACTGAATATAGTGTGCATTTTTACTTCAGTGAAAAGGGTAATCATTTTTTACATGATGACTGCTTTTACCTTAAGATAAATACACCGTTTGTATTGTGTGTTTGTGTTATCTCAAAACTACACAATGGGCTATCTACGCTCTGTCTACCGCCGAAAATCGAACCTCGGGTTTTAACGTTGTAATTCGTAAACTGATCACTGTCTTAGTTTGTTTGTAATTAAGCACAATTAAGCCCACCACGGGTATCGAACCCGAATTCTAGCGTTGTAAGTCCGCAGACATACCTCTGTGCTACTGGGGGGGGGGGGCTATCACCGTCTTACCAGGGGACTTCAGTTAATAGATCAAACTTAAATTATGACTAACTCTTGACTTGACACACTTCAAAATGCAACTGGAAATATTAAGACTTTTTTTTTGTAATGTTTTGCACAAATGGCTAGTTGAGTTCTGCCCTCTGCATGGAGTGAGTCCCGATTAGTGCTTTATAATCTTCGATCTTACCGCTGAGCATTGTTAAGGAATTATATGATTTTAAAGATTAAAGATGTTTGCACTCAAATGTAATATAACAGAAAATACTACATTAAAACAGGTTCGTTTAAAATGCAGAAACACGTATATCACTAATTGTAAAATATTAACAAAAAAAAACCCTCTAAAGAAAACTACCGTTCAAAATGTAAAACAGAACTGAACAAGTGGAAATTTGAAATCATTATAAAAACTAAAAAATTATCATACCCAGTTGTTAGCAGTTAAGGTTCCTAACGTTTATCCTAATCAATTGACGGATTTAGTTTTCTAGGTATACAGCATCTATGCATTTTTTGTTTCCAAATGAGCTACTTACTTTAAATCGGGTTTTTGACATTTTGATATGTCTTACGGACATCTCTTTCTGTTTCTTTGGGTTTTTAAGACGATGGTTTTAGAATTAAATAAAAGAAAATGGGGGGCAATATAAATCTTAAGCGTGGAACCCGCAACTCTATCTCAAAACCAAAGTCAAATGAATGAGCCCCCCATTGGCACGGCGGTATGTCTGCGAACTTACAACGCTAGAATCCGTGTTTCGATACCCGTGGTGGGCAGAGCACATATAGCCCATTGTGTAGCTTTGTGCTTAATCTAAAAACAAACAAATGAAGGAGAAGTCCGTATGAAACAATGTTAATATACTTTATTACAAGTTACAGCTTTTACAGTAAGTAAGTAAGATTTGTTTTTAGATCAGGTACAACGTTTCGATCACTGGTGCAATCATTCTTAAGTACTCTTGTAATAAAATATAATTAATCAGTAAGTAAACTCGTAAGGAAACTATTAATGTCGCTATAGACATGACATTATCGAGAACTTTTAAAGTTTTGAAAACCCATTGAGTTGGCTAAGGCATGTTTCGAGATTCTAACATGTAATTCTTCGTCTCCTTTTCCTTGTACAATATTCTGGAAAAATCATATTAAATACACTCAGTTAGATTCCCACTAATAACCGGATGATTCGTAAACCTGGTTGATGGAAAAAATTGGAAGGTCTGTGACTTTAACATAAAAATAAACAGAAAACCATAACAGCCGACAGCTTAATACGGTTACTTAGGATGAACTGGATTTATTAAAGTGTTTGAACTGAAGTGAAGATAACAGAAAATAATAAAATTATGTTCAAGTGAACTGAATGAAACTGAAGACAACAAACAAAATACGAAACGTTGGTTAGTGAGTCGAATGAAAAGATACAGTATACCATGACTACAACTTTCCAGAACAAATTCCCAACAAAGAG